GCAGCTTGGGCTGTACATGCTTAAACATCCTCCTTCTCACAGTGACAGAACACAAAAAATGCCCTCCACAGATGAATGCTGACTTGCCTTCAATCAAGTCTCTTCATTTGAATGACATTTGTATCAAATGCAATGTCAATTGAAATATTAGTGATCATAAACCTGCAAAAAGGTTGTTGCTAAGCTAATTTGTGTGCCCACCAAACTGACTTGATGTTATCTGAATGTTATGCTAACAATTTAAACAAACCAATTATTTTTTCCTGTATTGCACTGCAGACTTGAAAGGGAAATAAAGGTGACCTAAAGTAAAATGCAAACCTTTACTTTGAGCTTTGCCATTTTGTTCTGTTACATAAAAATCACACGTATGGGATATACTTTAACTCTTAAAACTTTGACTTTATTTGAAGGTACGTATTTGGTGGTGAGGATGGTGTGTGGGTGCGTGTGTGGGGGGTGACTAATTACATAAAAGTTGCAGTGGAAACAATTACAGAAAAATACATTTGTTTCAAAAATGTCTATATTTCTTATTAATTACAAGCTAGAAAATAAAAGTATACGTACCTAAATCTACTATCAAATTAAAAAGAAATATAACTACAATGTATGATATGGTAACATACACTAGGCAACCTAAAAAATATAAGGTGCTGAACCAAGACATTGCAGATACAAAGCAAACTCTTTGGGACTCAAGGGTAATTTAGGGAAAAAGGCCTGGGGCTCAAGTGGTTAAAGAGAAACAGCTATATTCTACATTTAATCTCTACTATTGCAGATGAAAAGAAAATACAACTTCTTGGACAGTCAGAGCCAATTTTCCCTTGATTGGGCTGGAGGGATGCACCAGTCCTATCTTTACATGTGATTTATCTCCTCTTGAACAATCCACAGAATAAAAAAGTTAATTTGCTAATTTTTATTGGCCTTGAGTTTGTTTATACTTCCTAGTTAGATAGCCAATCGGATCTTTTTCAAACTTAATATTCCCAGATGTTCTTTGCACTTGAGATTTTCTTGGGAATTTGTTTGTTTGTTTTTTCCAATCCAGTTATCCACCAATGAATCTTGTCCAATCTCTTATACCCCTCTTCCACTGAAATGCCACAAACTGGACTTCATATTCAGGATTAGGGATGAGGTTTCAGTTCTCCAATACCATGGATTCAAGACCAATCCTGCATTTTCAAGGTTTCCAATCCTGGAGAATTAAATTGGGTATATGCATACTGAAATTTGACCGCCGAATTTCAGTATGTGTTTATCCCTCTCTGTCCAGCAGATGCTGATCATTTGACTGGCTTCTGCTGATTGGTCCTGCTGTAAAACCAGCTTTTGATCAGTCACTGCAACCAATGGTTGCAGCAATAATTAGTGTATTCTGACAGTAGGGGAGAGTCTCCGTTATCTGAATACAATAGCACAGCGGGCGAGATCCCTGCATGCATGTCGCTTGTGTGGATGCAGAGATTTGTGAATTTTTGTCTTTTCATTCAATTCGCTGTTTGAATGAAAAAAAAAAAAACCTCTCAAATTACATATCCAAATTAGATGTAGAGATTCAGCAGGCTGAATTATTTCTAATCATAATACACTGTCTAATACATTGCCTGGCCTTTAAACGTAAGTCAACTGGCTTGAAAGGGCCAATAATTGGCCAATAATTGGGGACTTTATTATGTGACATCCCCCTCACTATAAAAGGCTGGGTTCCCAACAGCCATTTGTCAGTGTGTATTGGTGTAGTTTAGGACACCTTTTTGTCACCCTTCTGTAGTTACTGTTAAGTCTCTGGACCCTCCCATCTTTTTCTTGTTTTGTTTTTTATTTCCTATGATTGCACATTTATCCATATATTTTTTATTTTCTCATAACTTAAAAAATGGGCTTTGTATTTAGTGTTTCATAGTGTTTTATCTTTTTTTTTTGCTACGGAATTGATGGTTTGGCCTAATGATGTAGAGTCGGCCTTTTCTTTCCATGAGTGGCTGTGTCATACAGCCAGAACACATGGTTGAGGTAGTTGAGTGACTGACAAAGCTATTGTATATTGATGATGTTAAAATAGGTCTCACAGTCCACTGTGGGATTGATAATTTTGTATATGGAGGACACCCCAGAGGACTGGTAATTAGTTACGAGTTTTCAGAGATATTGGAGGCGGCTCCTTGTAGCATTGTGTTGGAAAGCATTTCTGCTATTCTGATGTGCGGCTGTGAACACATTATAGTCCATGACATGCTGCAGCAACATACAAACCTTGCAATACATAAGGGCAAAGAGAGGACGAAAAATAGCAAAAATATGTTAGCCTGGAATGTAGCAAACATGCCACAGAGATGGACGCGGTTCAACCATTTTGGCTCCAATCTCCATCTTGGCAAAGGATCACCCATCTTGTACAAACATATCTCCCCTTATTCTCCCTCTCTGAGAGTCACAGTGACATATGGTCGATGTGTGTGTGTGTTGGAAGTGTCACAGGCCGGCCAGGGCACAGCAGGAAGCTCCAAGCTATAAACCATCTCTGAGTTGGGTGCCGTGCGGGCTGGGAAGCTGAGCAATCTGGCACCTCGTAAAAAGATAACCCAAGCCTTCCCCTGAGTTCAAAGACATTTCAGAGGAGTAAGGAACTAGATAACACTTTTAAAATTCATTTTTCCCCTATGTCTCATATCTTGGAATATAAGAGACTTACATAAAAACCAGGCCTATCTTCAGATGGCCCACGATTAGACAAATCGTTTGATAGGTCACACTCCCTTACTGGAATACCTAAGAAAGCAGAAAATTACATCTCTTGAACCCTTCAAGTATGTATTTCATATTTCATATGTAACCGTTCGTCAGATGTGTCTGCATACTAATCTACCCACTGGTGGAATGGTGCTTGTACCTAGGAAAAGTTATAAGCCAAAATATGAGTTATGAGAGATTTTGGTTCTAGTTTTGGTCTCCGCCCAGACAGTCCCTCCCCAAACGAGGCATTGGTCCTTGGCTTCAGAGACAGCCCCTGCTGGGGTACTACAAAATAGGCTGTCAGGCCTAAGAGAAGAAGTTGAAGAATTCTCCCGTTTAACATCAGAACCAATGTGGGAGAGGTGCCCTTTTGCCCTGAAACTTGATCTGCTTAACCCAAGGCTGATTGGCAAGTACTTTAACCCTTTAACCTCCTTTCTGTTACTTCTTTGCTGTGCTGTTGTTCTCTGTATATTTATATATATATATTGGTTAAATCTTTTTTATGTAAATATTTTTATTGCACCCTTTTGACCTTTTAGTAATAAATCTTTCTTTCTGAAAGTGTTGAACTGTTTCTATAGCTCGTTAATGCAACTTACGAATTCCTGCCTCTAAAAGAGCGCTATTGTGTTTGTTTAACCCTCTGTATAACCTGTCTGCGGTGGCAGTGCTATACAGACGATTATCTCAACCATCATAGTGTTATTGCTGATATTGCCGAGTTTCCTCTTTCTCTGTACAAAAAGGAGGTGGTGGCAGTGTGAAGGGTTAATTGCGTAATTAACCTGACCCAGTAACAATCATATTCAGGCTGCCGGTACATCGATTTGTTGTCCATTCGCTGGAAAATCGTTGTGCAGGGTGCAGCTGGGTGTGGCATTGTTACGCATATGACATCACAGTTTCAGATTGGCTAGTCCTTCGGTCACGAGTTTGGTGAGAAGGTCAGGGGTCTGACATGCGATTGTCACAGGGAAGAGTTAAAAAAAATTGGGATTACAAAGCAAAGAAGTTGTCAGGGCTCCCAGGTGTGACCAGAGGTGTGTGACTGACGCAGGGAAACGCAGACTTCAGATATGTGATAAACAATATAATTTATTAACACTAACAATACAAACATAAACGCAGTGCAATACTAAACATAATACAGTGCAAACAAACCAAACCAACCACCCACAGATAACAGTACATACAAGCAAGCGTCGTCAGGCAGGCCGGGTCAATATCAATTGGGCAGGTAGGTACAGGGGGAGCAAGCGGAGATTGGTCGGGGTCACAGGCCAGGTTCAGCAGGTAGCAAGCAGCGTAGTACAGAGGGTCAGGCAGAGGGATGGTCAGGGTCACAAGCCAGGCATCAGAACAGGTAGCAAGCAGCGTAGTACAGAGGGTCAGGCAGAGGGATGGTCAGACAAGCCAGGGATCAGAGCAGGGTCAGCAGAGAATCAGACAGGAACAGAGAGCAGGAACAGGATACAGGGCCCAAGAGAAACACAACACCAAGGCAGAGTCTGCAAGTCTGGCCATCCCTTAAATACCCCAGCATAATCAGTTCCAGGTGTTAGCTGGCTGCAAAGTTGAGTCTCTGATTGCTGGGAGCACCCGCTGGCCAGCCCTGGTACTGCAGATCAAAAGGCAGGTGAGTCCCACCATTGCTGGCCAGTCCATTCCTGACAGAAGTATTGATGAAAGTCCTAGACTGCACATGTGTGATTAAAGAGATTGGAATCACCAACCTAAAAAGTAGGTTTTTGTGGTAAGCCCACTAAAGCCCCTTAAAATGTAGAGAAATATGATATATGTTTTGTGTTTTTTTATGTTATTATTTGTTTGTGTGTTTAAGTATTTTTATGGCTGAAAATGATTTATATAATTGGTATTCATATATGAGTGTTAGGTTTGATACATGTATATACTTCTAATTTTGTATATACTGTATGTTTTTACTTTTAGCGCTACACTATATCAGGTTGATTTGACTATTTTTTTGGTTATTTAACTAAAGGTGCTGGTGGCTTATATAGTAAAAATTAGGCATCAATGGTAGAGTTCTGTTTAAGGTTCTTTTTCCCCCCTTTTTTTCAACCAAAAGTTTTTTTCCCATCAGGTTCCCCTTGTAAGGGTTTTCAGCATCATATCAGTACAGAAACAATTCAGCCCACATAGCTATTTCCTTGGTCTGCTCAGCACAGGCTCAATCTTTGTCTCTATTTCAGGTGACCACCTGATCAGAATATCTGTCTCTCAGGCAGGGGCGGACTGACAACTCATGGGGCCCCCGGGCAATAGGGGATCATGGGGCCCCTGTGTCCTTGCCCAAACTCAAAAAATCCTATGAAAAAGGTACCCGGGGCATCTCATGGGGCCCCCTACTGACCCCGGGCCCTCGGGCAGTGCCCGAGTTTCCAAATGGTCAGTCCGCCCCTGCTCTCAGGCCAGAACACAGGCACACACTCCTCAGGCGTCTGTACATACCTGACTCTCCAAGTGTGGGAAAAGCCCTTTTGGGACACAATGAATCTCTTTTGTGGGTCCACACCTCATCTGACTCTATACACACCCGATCTGGCACCTTTTCACTGCTGAACCATATTTTAACTATATATTTTCATCCTGGTATTATACACTGCTCAGCATAAATGAGTACACCCCAACAGATTTATCAGAAAACCTTTACTTTCCTTTCAGAACAGGGGCAGACTGACAACTCCTGGGGCCCCTGGGCAATAGGGGATCATGGGGCCCCTGTGTCCTTGCCCAAACTCAAAAAAGGCTATAAAAAAGGTATGAGGGGCATCTCATGGGGCCCCCTACTGACCCCGGACCCTCGGGCAGTGCCCGAGTTTCCAAATGGTCAGTCCGCCCCTGTTTCAGAATCAACATTTTCTATGGGACATTATACTACAAAATACTCCCACAAATGCAGGCCATTGATTGCAAAAAAGATTTGTTAATTGGCACACCCAAAAAAGTATTTTTCCTAACAAATTCATTCAAAACCATGTTGCAAAAATTAATACATCCCAATGAAAGTCTTAGGAGCAAAGCTAAATTTTAGACAACAAAATCTTAATTAAAAAGAATTCAACTACAGAAAAGTATATTTATTCATTAAACAGGTGTCCAGCTGACAGTTGATTATAAAAGGAAGTTACTTAACACAGAAAACCCCTTCCCATTTCATGCTGTCAGCAATGGCACCAAATGGAAGAGAAAAGGCCTGAGAAAGAAAATAATTCCTTTACACAAGAAAGGTGAAGGCTACAAGAAGATAAGCAAAGATTTACTTATTAGTCAGAGTACTGTAGCAAAAATGATACAAAAAGTTAACAAAGATGGAACTGCAACAATCTCACAGAGACGTCCAGGCCATCCATGGAAGTTAACACCTCAAACAGGAGCTTCTTTTGGTGAGAAGGGTTGAAGAAAATTGCCATGCAAGTTCACTGCAGTTAGCTAAAGAAGTAGAAAGCCAAAGTGGGGTGGTTGTTTCCTATGACACAATACGGCATACACTGCAAAGGAACGACATGCATGGGTGTCATCCAAAAGGAAGCCTCTCCTAAAGTCCATAAACAAAAGAGGCCTCCTAGAATTTGCCAGGGCCCATGCTGAAAAAGAAGAAGACTACTGGGACTCTGTACGCTGGAGTGACTGTATGGAAAGGTGAGGAGTACAAAGAAAAATGCATGGTGCCTACAGTGAAACATGGTAGTGGCAGTGTCCTTCTGTGGGGCTGCATGAGTGCTGCTGGTGTTGGGGAGCTGCATTTCATTGATCGTATCATGAATTCACAGGTATACTGCTCTATATTGAAAGGGTTGATGCTACCATCACTCTGTGCACTTGGTCTTCGTGCACGTTTCCAACATGACAATGATCCAAAACACAAATCCACAACACTAAACTCTTGTTGGATGATACTTTCAGGGTACCCTTGATTTCTAAATTTCTGGCATATTTCCTCCATCCTACTATCATGTCTAGTTTCAGTACTTACAATGTGTTTAACTGCAGTGGTGTATTTAGATTTCATGCTGTCCTAGGCAACACAAAAATTGCCCCCCCTTCCCCATGGAGAGACCCTGACACTGACAAACACCCCCCTCCCCCACAATAAGAGCCTAACATTGACCAACAAGAGCCTTCCACTACCACTGCCCCCCATGCACTGGCAACCCCCACACTCTGGTGAGAGAGAAGACACTCACCTTCACAGCTCCAGACATCCCCGGGAACAAGAGTCAGGCTCTACATACACCATAATGCAGCCCTCAACCTCTCACAGATCCCACCTGGTGCCCATGCGGTGTGTGCATTCTTCCATCCCTTTTTTGGGGGGGCGGTGCTGGTGCCCATGCTGTGTGTGTCCATTCTTCCATCCCTTCTTTCGGGGGGCAGCGCTGGTGCCCATGCTGTGTGTGTCCATTCTTCCATCCCTTATTTTGTGGGTGGCACTGGTGCCCATGCTGTGTGTGTCCATTCTTCCATCCCTTCTTTCGGGGGGGTGGCACTGGTGCCCATGCTGTGTATGCCCATTCTTCCATTCCTTCTTTCGGGGAGCAGCACTGGTGCCCATGCTGTGTGTGTCCATTCTTCCATCCCTTATTTTGTGGGTGGCACTGGTGCCCATGCTGTGTGTGTCCATTCTTCCATCCCTTCTTTCGGGGGGTGGCACTGGTGCCCATGCTGTGTATGCCCATTCTTCCATTCCTTCTTTCGGGGAGCAGCACTGGTGCCCATGCTGTGTGTGTCCATTCTTCCATTCCATCTTTCGGGGGGCGGCGCTGGTGCCCATGCTGTGTGTGTCCATTCTACCATCCCTTCTTTCGGGGGGTGGTGCTGCCCCCCTGAAAAATGCAGCTGCCCCCCTGAAAAAATGCCGCCCTAGGCAAATGCCTTGTTTGCCTTGTGGTAAATACGCCCCTGTTTAACTGTACAAAGTTGACTACGCACAATAGATCTGAACACATGGTAGATGAACACTGTCAAATGATAATAATTGATTTTTATCTGTAGGCTTCACAAACAAGTCAGATTCAGTTTTGCCACCCTCTATACAGATGGTAGTGTCTAAAAAAGAAAACAATTTTCCTCCAACACACATGTTAAATTGTATATCCGTAATGTACCCATTTAGCATATCATCAAAGTTGTAGGGTCTCCATGCTGCCCCGCCATATTGCAAACACATCGTCTATATAGGTCCACTATGTGACACAATATTTCTTAAAAAGATCATTCAAATAAATGTTTTGCATCTCAAAATTATGCATGAATGTGCATGCAAAAGCCGAAGCAACATTAGAGCCCATTGCAACTCCCTTTAGTTATAAACAGAATTTGACCTGAAAAAGAAAAAAAAAATTGTTACTTAAAATGACATGAAACAATTTCTCAAACAGTGATATTTGCGATGTTGTATAGAGATCACAGTCCTTGATTAATTCTATAGCCACATCAATACCCACCTTTTGTGGTATTGAAGTATACAGGCTATTGACATCCCAAGTCATCAAAATCTGATCAAGATCCCTTGGCACTGTGGTAAAGATCTAAATTTATGTAGAAACTTGTTTGTCTCCTTAATATAAGACTTGGTTTCTCTTACTAAAGATAACAAGATCTTGTCCAAAAGTTGTGATATCGGCACGAAATTCGAATCTCTCCCTAAAATTATAGGACGACATGGTGGTTTTTCACTGTTTTTGTAGATTGTTAAGTAGACTATTCTTTGAGACTTTCTGATTGTTTTTTCTACACGAGTACAGGGTTAATTATGCATCTTTAGTGGAGGGATAGCACCCCTTTGTGATCACACCCTGTGGAAGTATATAGTTTGAATTGTGTTTGGGAAATATTTACCTACAGCTTGATGAAGAGCAGGGATGCTTGAAACTGTGCAGTTGCTATATATCATATGGATTGTAACTTGTATGAAGATGCCATTTTGAAGTAAAGACTATTGCATTGTGGAGTATGTATCCTCATTTCATTCGATGGTTATTTTGGTGAATGATTGGGAGCCCATCATTGATACAATCTCCCTGTTTTTGAACTTGGATTGAGATATATAAGGGAGTGTCTCATCCGTTTTTTGGTGTATATATATATATATATATATATATATATATATATATATATATATGTAGTTTTAAAGGTAGCCACATCACTCTATGTTTGAGGTAGATGCCCAGGTGCTCACTCACAAAGATATCCATATAAATCCAAAACTGGTTTAGAGGCATTCACGGTTCTTGCAGAGGAGGAAGATCAAAAACAGCAGTGTGTTATTGTCAACGTTTCAGTGAAGCTCAGTCCATTATATACAGTATATATAATATATATATATATATTTATGAGGGTGTGGTCAGTGGAGACCTGACCATGCAGCTGTGCAGCAGTCTGCACTAGGAGTGATGTGCTGCTGCAGGAAGAGGCAGGTAAGGGCTGTTTCAGCTTGGAAGCCAACAATAGATCACTATTTGGAGTGATCTACTGCTGTGAGGTGAGGAAGCTAAGGGCTGCTTCACTTTGGCCTGAGCCTTTTTACGCAAGGGGGAAGTTTCATAACATTATTTGTGATACCACTTCATTTCAAATGTTAACACACTGCAAAAGTGTGTAAAACACATTGGTGGTCCACATATGAAAATTAGATAGAGCTCACAACCCTTGTATGAGAGGTGGGATTCAAGAAAACCCCATGCAGTCTGTATCTGGTTATCTGGGGTGCATCTGTGGAGAAGGGACCTTTTGATTGATTTTTTAACACAGTCGATGGCTGTTTTTGTTTTTCTACCATGTATTTATACTCTCCCGAAGAAGTGAGCGCTGTTCATGAAATGCATATAAAGTGGCTAAACTTTAAGAAATATGTAAAATATGTCATGTGGAAATGTTATATTTATGTTTAATGGTAAGAAAAACTTCTTGGTGGAAAATATGTGTAGGATATATGTACTGAAACAAACACTACCAGACTTATAACTTATTTATGTTTTTAAATGGATGATTTTAACAAGGTTAAATAAATTACAGATTTTATGAGGCTAAATTTGTGTATCTTTAAGTCCCATTTATTTTTTTCTGTTGTAAACTGTGCAGTGTTCAAGTTCTTACACTAATTGAACCTGGTAGACATTTATCACCAGGATATATATGAAGAGGAGTATATTTCTGTAATTTTTTTCAACATAAAAGTAACTACAAATATTTAAACAAATGGTTCTTGTTGGACAACACCACCATATATTTTAATCTGTCAAATTTAACTGTATGTCACATTTTGTATTCCTTTGCAATTGCATTTTCTCTGGAAAATGTATTTAAATAATAGCAATAATTGTCAGCAGAGCTAAAGTTTTCAAAGGTCTAATCTGTACAGCCATCAAACCCATGATGACTCACATGCTGCAAGATGCACCTCATTTAATGTAACAGACCTTTCATTTCTCAACTAACAATGAAAGATAATGGATTTTGTCTCAAAATGTATAAAGATGAGCAATGCTCTGAGCAGAGTTGTCAATCAACACAGAAATCAATGCATTTCTTTCTACATTTTCCATTATAAATACATTTGCAGTTAAGCAACATTCTTATGATTTATTTGTTTCTGTATTTTATGTTTCAGCCAGGTTCTATGGTTTCACATATTGAACATAGTGACCAAAATTATACAAGGCTGTGACATGACAGTGTCATTTCAAGGAGAAAGCTATTTTTTCTTTTTTACTATTATTATTATAGCTGTTATTATTATACACTCTATTCAAGGTCATCCTGAGCTGCAGAGAAAATTTTGCATTATCGTTTATGTCTAAGTATGTCAATAAATCTAAGCTTCTCAATTAGAACTTTAAATCCAGAAAGACATATTAAGAATGATTGTTATGTTTGACTTCATACAAAATTAAACATTCTCTTTTTTAAACTGACATAAAGAATA